AAAAAAAAAAAAAGAAACTAGCTGGGAATACAGGTGCAAGTCACCATGCCTGGCTAATTTTATTTTTGGTAGAGACAAGGTCTTACTACGTTGTCCAGGCTGGTCTCAAACTCCTGCACTCAAACAATCCTCCCACCTTGGCCTCCCAAATTGCTGGGATTAGAAGCATGAGCCACTGTGCTTGGCCATTAAATAGATTTTCTATGCCTTTGCCCATCTCTTCTCCTTCTAGAACACCTCAAATTAAAAAATTTGGCCACTTTCTGGTGTCCCATATGTCAGATAGGCTTGCTTTCCTCTTCTTTTTCATTCTTTTTTTTTTTTTGAGACAGAGTCTTGCTGTGTCACCTGTCACCAGGCTGGAATGCAATGGCGAGATCTCTGCTTGCTACAACCTCTGCTTCCTGGGTTCAAGCGATTCCCCTGCCTCAGCCTCCTGAGTAGCTGGAACTACAGGCGTGTGCCACCATGCCCAGCTAATTTTTTTATATTTTAGTAGAGATGGGGTTTCACTTTATTGGCCAGGATGGTCATGATCTGACCTTGTGATCCATCTGCCTCAGCCTCCCAAAGTGCTGGGATTACAGGCATGAGCTACCGTGCCTGGCCTCTTTTTTTTCTTTTTGTGTAATTGAGTTATTTCAAAAGACCTGTCTTCAAGTCCAGAAATTCTTTCTTCTGCTTGAACCAGTCTATTGTTGAAGCTCTTGATTATATTTTTTATTTCATTAATTGAATTTTTCAGTTACAGGATCTCCTTTGGGTTCTTTTTTATGATATCTGTCTCTTTGAGTTGAATTTCTCATTCAGATCATGAATCGTTTTCCTGATTTTTACTGTTTACCCGTGTTTTTTTACACCTCACTAATTTTCTTTAATAACATTATGCTAAATTCTTTTTCAGGCATTTCATAGATTTCCTTTTTGCAGGAATCTGTTGCTGGAGAATTATTTTCTTAGGAGATGTCTTGTTTTCTTGGTTTTTCATGTTTCTTGTGTCCTTATGTTAGATATCTGTGCATCTGATATAACAGTCATTTTTTCCAATTTTATTAATTGTCTGTTATAGGGAAAGACTTTTCCTATAAGTGTATCTATAGTGTTGGCTGGGTAGGGTGCTTTGACTTTGATCCTGGGTGGGCATAGTAATGTAGTCTTTGTATGACTTATTTGGTTATAATCAGCATCAGTGGTGTCTATGAGTTCCTTAGTGGCTTATACTATGGTTGATAATAGAGGCTGTGGTGAGGCTTTGCTAGGGATGAGGATGACAAATGAGCAGCTCTTAGGCTCTGGGGAGTGCAAGCTTCATTCAGCTCCCTTTGTCCCAGGGGCAGTCTCCTTGGTGCACTGCATTTCCTGTTTCCTGGGGTGTAGGAGACTACATGGGCTAGAATGCTGAAGACTTGGCTGTACTGCTGTGGCTAGCTGGTGTTGAGATATTCTAGCCCTCTGGGTGGGCTTGGGAGGTTGTCAGAAGCACTCCAGGGACGTGGAGATGGAGGCACTTTTGGGTTTCAGGGCAGAATGTAGTTTGGTGGGAGCTGGGCTCTCAGAATGGTGTTGTGCTTGCAGCTGCTTGGATCTTAGGGGTTCTGTGGGCTCTGAGCAAACTTTCTTTTTGGAACAATGCTTCCTGTGGACTTCAGGAAGATCTCTACACTTATCTTAGGGCCTACATTGGTAAGAAGCTCTTCCTTGGCTAGGATTGCATAAGTCTGTAGTAGGAATGTGGACCCTTGGGAATCTCTTGCTTATAGCTTCCCTGCACTGGGGTGTTTCTCCTGGCTGTGAGCCAATCCCAGCTGGACAGGCTACTTCTCTCTCCTCTTATTCCATGCCTTAGAAGTTCCTTGTCACTTTCCTGATGAATTCCAATGTTATCTCTCACTTTATTCTACATGTGATTATGTACTTGCTGTTTTGGTCCTTCTTTGTAGTGGAGGTAAGTGCTAGGTGCCTGTAGGTCACCATCTTAAAGTCCTTTCCTAAGTGACAAATCTTAACATTACAAAAAGAGACAGCCAAATATTTACATGTGTATTCCAGATGGAAGTATATGACACCATCTATGAGATGTTCTTGCCAAAAATTTGAGCTGTTCTTACTAAAAATGAAGGTTTCAGAAACATTCATCTGATCAAGGATCTAATCTGTTTGTTCACAGAAACTAAGCAGGGTATACAAAGCACCACAGGAATATAATTAGCAAAACCCAGAATGTGGGAAGCTCTACAGAAAGAAATGGCCCAGTGTGCTCAGTAAATAACATTTCAAGGGAAAGGAAGATAAACCTATCGATTAAAATATATGTAGGACACTGTCTTAGCCTGGCTTCCCGTGAAATTACGAATACCTTATGTGAAAGTATGAACCCAGTGATTAAGGAAATAA